CCTCTACAAGGCATGGCTATTTTTAGAGACAAGCTGTCTCTCTGACTCAGGCTGCTCTCGAAACCCAGGAGCTCAGGCAAACCACCCACCTTGGCCTCCCAAGTGCTAGGATTACAGGCATGAGCCACCACACCTGGCTAAAAAACCTTTGGATTATTTATTTTGCCCTCAAAATTCTGGAAAATCGAATTAAAATCAAATGTCCTCTAATACAAATTTTAAATTTTTCATATTCAGTTAAATTAAATTTGCATTAGAACACTCCTTTAAAATGTATTGTAGTGGGAAGGGAAGGGGGAGGATGGGTGGAGGGAGGGTGATTGGTGGGATCACGCCTATGGTTCATCTTACAAGGGTACATTTGAATCTTTCTAAATGCAGAATATAAATGTCTTAACACAGTAACTAAGAAAATGCCATGAAGACTAGGTTAACCTGTTTGGTGAAAATATTTCAAATTATATATAAAACCGGCACACTGTACCCCATGACTGCATTAATGTACACAGTTATGATTTAATTAAAAATGCCAAAAAAAAATTTTTAAAAATATATATAGTAGCTTTACCTGTGATTCCTGTGTCAGTTCTCTGTACCTGTAAGGATGACTATGTAACAAATAGATTAGTTTCTTACAGTTCTAGTCTTTTTAATCCCCAAGCATTTTATAACACATATCCTTAGACTGGCCAGTGTTGTATGGGACTCTAAGATTATACAACATTTACTATTTCCACAAAGCCTGAATATTTTTACATTAACAAAAGTAATATGAAAGTAATCTAAGTGCAGTAAAATATAAGTACAATAGGGTCCAAGTGCCCAGATTATAAGTGGCAGTAGGTTGTAAAAGATTAACATTATATAAATTTATTTGGACATAGACATAAGAGCATTTTGGGCTGTGGATCAGATTAAATGTGCTATTAAACATATTATAGTAATTTGAAAAAAATTCATCACAAATTAATTCATTCAAAATTTAGTTATTAAATGCCAGGCATCTTGCTGCATTTTAGACATATGTTATTTAATAAAGCAGACATTTCCCCCTTCTTCATGGAAAGCACAATGTAAGGAGAGTCTAAACTAATATGGTCTCCAAGTAAATCTCTCATTATATAAAATTATACAGTGCGTGGGGTACAACATATGCCTTTACTTTCTAAATAGTCTGCCTCAATGATGACAGTACTATTTGAATTTTGTTATGAGAGGGTATTTTTTTGGTTATTATTTTTTAGTAATGGCAAAATCTTACTGAGAATTTATTGTATGCCAAACAACATTATGATCATTTTGCATACTTTAATTCATTCTTGTAAAAAAAGGGGTGTAAAGTATTGTTAATCACATTTTGCAGACGAGGAAACCAAGACACAGAAAGTGAGTGTAACCTGCTGAAATCACACCACCTTCCTGGGGTTCAGATTCCATCCAGTCAATGTGGGAATCTTTGGGTTAAATTTTTAAAAACATGTTTATGCATAGAGTTAAATGGGGAAGAAAAGACACATAATTAATTAGTAGCAAAAAAAGACATGAGAATTTACTAAATTATGAATTCAAAAACAGAGTGTCATACTGAATTTTTAAGACCAAGTTAATTTACAGTCCAAGTGTAAAAGTGCTTTGGAATTTGGACGTCAACCTTCCTAAGTCTCAGTTTCCTCTGTGAAAGAGAAGTAAGAATGTCTGCCTTGAAAACTTCAGAAGAGGGCAGCGCCTATGGCTCAAAGGAGTAGGGCACTGCCCCAATGCAGAAGGTAGTGAGTTCAAACCCAGCCCTGACCAAGAAGAAAAAAAAAAGCTTCAGAAGATTGTGATAAATGCACATATGATCATTTATTTACATGAAGGCACTGGGGAAATGATAATGTGCTGTACATATGTCAGTTTTTGTTTTTACTATTTATTCCTTTGAACTTCATTGGAAAAGCCATAAACATCAGTCTTTAAAGGTGCTGTATTTCTTCTTATTACTTTGATTAAATGAATTTGAATAATTCTCTAATTAGGT